TTCTTTTCGTCTGTCAGAATCAGTTGAGCAAAGGTTCTTTGCCCTTGATAGGAGTGTTTTTACCACCGATACCTTATGGCTCGTTGGGTGGTTGGAGTCAAATTGTAAGTACCTTCCGGTGTGCGTTGGTTTGCGGTAAACTGAGAATTGGAGATGGTCTTTCTGCCTTTGTACAAGCACATCGAGAAACTGTAAGGTGTTTTTTTTTTTCCCGTTCCACGGTGAATTGGATGTTAGGCTCGATAGAATTGAGGTGTGTCAAAAAGTTGTCTATTTGGGACTTCTTCATGACGCAGAAGCAGTCGTCCACATATCTTAGAAACACCTTGGGGCTTTCAGCAAAGGACTGGAGAGCCTTTTGTTCTATGGCTTCCATGCACAGGTTTGCCGTGGCGACAGAGATGGAGACCCCCATTGCGGTTCCACTGGTCTGCTTAAAGTACTCTCCTTTGAAGCTGAAATAAGTGTTACTCAGGCAGAATTCAAGGAGGCGGCAAAGTTCGTCCACATTGAGCTTGGTCCTGTTGCTCAAATCGCTGTCTTTCTCCAGGGTGTTTCTGGCAGTCATGACTGCTAAGGAGACCGGAACGCTTGTGAACAGGGATATCACGTCAAAAGATACCAGAATCTCCTCGGCGCTTATCTTTAAATGCGAAATCTGCTCCACGAAGTCGCTGGCATTGCGCACATATGTCGGGGTTTTCCCAACGAGAGGAGAGATGGTGTGATGAAGGTAGTTTGACAATGCTTTGAGCGGAGACGTGGTGAAGTCAACGATGGGTCGGAGGGGGACGTCAGGTTTGTGTATTTTTGGAAGTCCGTAGAAACCGGGGGTAAAGCCATTCCGGCAAAGAAGGCGCAGGTGAAGGCTCCTGGAATCTGGGTGACCTTTGAAAATATCCGTAAGAATCTTGTTCAACTTCGTCTGGACTTGTGATGTTGGGTCTCTCTTGAGTTTTTCATACGTAGAGCAGTCAAGGAGATCGCGGACCTTATGCTCGTAGGCATCCCGGTCTAGGACGACCGTTGAGTTGCCCTTATCCGCTGGCAGGATCACAATGTTGTTGTCCTCTCGAAGCTTCCGAAGAGCTTGCACCTCTTCTCTTGATAAATTAATGTTTTTTTTTTTAATTAAATTTTTAAATTAAAAATTAATAAATTAAAAAAAATTAATGAACGAGTTTTACGCCAATTGGATGATTCTGATCGATCATCGCAAGCCATTATAAAGAACGAAGCATATCCAACTTTGGCGTTCCGCTTCGTTCCACGGAAGTCTACGAGGAGGCCCTGACACTGCCTAATCAGATCATAATTATCGTGTTGTCTCAAATAATTACATGCTGAATCAAAAGTAGACCATCATTCTCTGCTAAACAAGACAGCCATGAATGACTGACTTTGTCGTCGTCTTTTATGAATTCACCGCTGCGCTAATCTTGATTCAGGTAAGCCTAAACCCCAAGTCCACCCCACTATTTTTTTTTTTTTTTTTGCAATGCCACTTTTCTACTTGTTGTCTGTTTCACGAATTTCTTTTTCTTTATAAAATAAAACTTACGCAACGCTTTTGGTTTCTGTGTTGTTATGTTTTACTGTTGAAACACTCCTACTGATTCCGCGCGCTCGATCGAGCGAAGTGAGTTCGTCAAACTCACTCCAAGCGAAGTGTGTTCCTCAGGAAGGAGCCGTGTGGCACACTACAGAAATGACACTAAGGGCGAAGTGCACTCGCTTGTAGTGACACTAAACTAGCCCTTCTGACAGGGGTATTACACGACTCTGGGTGTTCCCCGCGAAAGCCGCTTCTCGTAGCACACCGATGCGAAGCGGTGAAGCTCGACTCACGCGGGCCCGTGTGAGGCGATGAAGGGCGACGCCGAGCGGCTATTCGCCTTTCCAAGAAACACTCGACCCCAGGGGCAACAAACCGTTTTCGAGACCAGTCACCGGGTTTGAGGTACTCCCGCCGGCGTCCCTGCTAGCCCTAACTGAGTGGACTGATTTCGATAGGCGCAGTTTCAAACACTGCTGGCGGCAAAATTCTCGTATTTTCCCGTTTCTGGAGGCTAAATTCTCGTCTTTTCCCGCTGTATTTTGTGTTTCATGGGTATGTATTTTCCCGAGAACATTGAGAAAGCATTGTACATTTGAAAAAGCAAAAAAGAAAGGAAACTGTAAAAAAAAATATTTGTTGGGTACACGTGCGACAGTACGAATGCGACTGGAATGTTCGTTGTCGTGTTTTTTTGGTTTTTTTTTAACGAAAAGTTTTGACGGCGCCGCCTGATAAGCCGCGTGTCAAACTACAAAGCGCTTAGCCGTCGAAAATAATTTACGACAGAAGATAGCCGAAAGGCATGCATGTGGCACGCTCACAAATAGCGTGTTTACCGATGGACAGGGCACGGACACACAATTTAGCGAGCGTTAACATCCTATACTTTGTCTCATCCTACGATGGACTATAGGCCACAGCCACGGGCCGCAAGGTCCAATCACGTTACACGCTAAACTATGACATGCTTAATATTGATTAGGGGTGGACGAATGATGCTCAGAATCAAAAAGCGCGGCATCATTTTTATAGCTTCGACAGTGCAAAGAGTCTGTATGTCGTAGCTTTTTTTTTTTTTTTTTTTTTTTTTTTGCGATGTAAAATTGATGAGTCATTCAGTGCTATTCAATTCGAACCACTGTCCACCCATACTCTTTAGTGATCCTAGACTGAGGTACCGCCGCGTGCATTGAAGCGAAATACAACGCAATTTCCAAGTGGCTTGTGATTCGATCTGGTGACCCGTAGCTTTTACCTTTTGTCCGTCGTAGGGTGAGACGAAGTATAGCAATATATTGTACATACGTACCACACGATGCGGCGTTATCTGAAAATAATTTATTTGAGAAAGATCTCAAATAACACAGTCACAGTCGACGACAGTCACTTCTTGACGATCGGGCGGACGGAATCCAAGATAATTTTGTTTTGGGGGAGAGCTTCCTTTTATCACACCAGGCCCAACCGAGGCAAAAGAACGGGCGCGGCTGACTCCAACCCGAACAACTATTTTTGGCTATGACTGAGGACTCTACGCGGATTATCACTGGGAGGGGAGGGAGAATAGTTGTTGTTCTTAAAATCGCTTCGACGGCCAATTGACGTCCTTCTCCTCTTTCGTTTCCCGTAAATGTCGAGCAGAAACGCTTGAATGGACAGTCACTTGCCAGCCCTCTTTCTCGCAGTGGAAGATAACGCAGAAAGGGTACGCAGCATGCATCGAAAAAATTAAGTGGAAACTTTCAAGAGGGGCCAGAAAACGTCGAACGCAAACCCGCAAAACATAGGTGTAGAGAATCGCGCTCAGCGGGTTCCCACAGTCCAAGAGAGTGGCAGAAAATTTCTAGCTGATAGGGGGCGCGAGAGTCGCACCAGCCGCATCAGCATCAGCAACATAATGGCCGCCGAGGAGCGTTTTTTGGAAAGCTGTATAGTGCCACACCGTGGAGTTGTGTGACCGAGATTATAATCAAGCGACCTCATCAGGAGTGTGAGACCCTGCATACCTCCCTTGCATAAATATTTCTCGATACTTTTAGCTCCGTGACATGATCGACATCACGGCATCATAGTTTGAAAGTTCAGACGATGACGTGCCAATGCATATATATGTTTACACCATTTTCCTTCTGTACATGTTTTCACCTCAGGGATCGTAGTAAAAAGAGTTCGGCAGCTCGCGGAGCACTACTAATTTCCACTTTTACATGGAGAAATGAGATATGTGTACCGTAAAATCCCGTAAGGACACCTCCCGCAATGTCCGACGGAAATCACATCAACCGCGCGATCTGCGGTACCGGTACGTGTAACAAGCGAGTTCACAGTGAGTTCCCGCCTTTTTGTCTGCGATTTTTTTTCCATCTTTTTTATTAGAAGTATGTCTACGATCTGCGCGTGTAATATCGGTTCCCGTGACATGCGAGTTGGTATGGTTCGTAGCGAGTTCCCGCGTTTTTTGTCCACGATCTGTGCGCGCGATGTTCCCGTGGCACGCAGGTTTGTATCCGGTTTCCGCGTGTGTATCGCACCGTGAAACACGAATCTGCTGCATCTGCGGTCGCGGTATCCATTCTCGCGACACGGGAGTTCGTAGCGAATTCCCGCGTGTTTATTGCTTTCTGAAACGCGAATTTGCTGTGTCTGCGATCTGCGGTATCAGTTCCCATGTCACGTGATTTGTAGCGGGTGCCCCTGCACTTGTAATTTTGTTTTGTAAAGTTTTGCTGTCTCATCTTCAAAAATAACCTACTTCATGTTTTTCAACATAATTCTCTTCATTTTGGGTGGGCGCCCTTAAGGTATTTTATGGCAGGTGCATTCGAGATTGGATATATGTTATCTTATCAAGATGTATACATTTCAAGCGCCAAAAGCATAGCTTCTTCCCCCGACCACCAAATCATGTACGAACTATACTTCGCGCGGCGTGTAAACACTGCGCAAAGCTTGCTTTTTTCTTGGGGTGAAAACGAGTATAGTTCTTCCAATATTAGTCTCGCCGACCAATATTATATTGGTTTCGCTCTGTTTAAGGTCATTATGGCGCAGGTGTAGCGGAATATTTGGCGCAATTTGGCGCAAATGCTGCAGCACTTCCATCCCTGTCAGGCGTTGTGGTAGCCAAGAGAGCGGTCAGGAGGAAAACTGGTTGGTTGAGGGCAAACCTTTGTACACTTTTCGCAGGAACCAGCGCGTGCAAACAGAGCGGCTGATGCCCATTTCATGCTTTATGTAGTGTTTACTGCGAGCGCGAAGTTAGTCAAAGTGAACGATTCTTCTCACGGTCGCACGGCCGCCCAAACAAAACGCAGCAGATGGCGTGCACGGCATTTGTTGTACCGGAAGTGGAGGTTGTCCTTCGGTTCGCTTTGGGACAATTCCACTATCACAGGATCCTCGCGCGCCTGTCGGACATTGATACCCCTGGCGCCGCGTGCAGGCTTCGGCCACGTACTGCCGTACTACCACCTGCTGCTGTGCCTGCTGTTCCTGGCGGCCCGCGCGGCTGAAGTGGAGGCGAGGTGCCGGCAGCGCTACGGGGACATCTGGCTGCGCTACGCCCACCGGGTCAAGTACCGCCTCCTGCCGGGCGTCTACTGAGGCCGTCGACCAAACAACATTCGGGTTAACGTGCGTGAAAAAGAAAAAGGAGGAACAAAAACGCTTCTTTTGGAATGTCTCATTTAGTATGCGAGCGGACGCCGATTTCCTATTATGTATTTCATTGCGTGCACGTAAGGAAGATTTTTCATTTCAAATAAACAAAAATGTGGAAGGTAGGCCAGCCTTTCTTAGCTAACTAGGCACGGAGGCGAACTCGGATAGGCCAATCTCACTAACTGTTCCACGCAGGCGTGGCGCCACCGTAACTGTAGTGCACGGGAGGCAGACGTAAGTGTACGAGACAACACAGAGATGACAGTAAGGACATTACTGTAATGAAATTAGATTAATCAACTTGCCTTCAACTGCTTCCAGAGAGTAATTTTTAAAAAAAAATTACTCAATCCTTTGGGGTTTACTTTTTTACGAGGCCCATGTGAGTGCAAAACCTGTGACAGAGGACTCGGAAACGAGACAAACACACACACAGGAGGGGTTGAAAGCCGAAAAGGGAGGAGAAAAGCTTTTGTAGCCGAAAGGCCATGGTGCCCCACTTCACGAAAGTCCAGACAAGGCGGATCCACGGCGCCACGTCATCAGGGACACGGTACCGAGTTACAACGCGGAGGGCACGCCACCAAGGTCAACAGATTTTAAAACCTGACACGAGTTTTCACCTTTCAAAAACTTCGAGACTGAGGCAAACAGGGACACCACACACCAGGGTGGAGAATAAAAATCAAGATGATTGAAATCATGATTTAAATCAATATTTAAATCGTGATTTAAATTGAGCCCGTGTCTTAGTATGATCATGTAAATCAAGTCAATCCCGCAAAATAATCCCCCAATATATATATATATATATATATATATATATATATATATATATATATATATATATATATATATATATAATATCGTTTATCATTTGATTCTCTCTATATGCATTTGTATTGTATTTAAATCAAGGAATGATCTAGTAAGAAAGATTTATATCAGGTTGAGCAGAAAGCAGTGGTCTTCTGAGCAAATCGGAATGTTGAGATTTCTCTCTTTAACTTTGTTCGTCAGTTACGCGACGCCCTATTGCAAGTAAATAAGAATGCGAAAGAAAGGAACTAGAAAAGTAATTGCCGACGAAAATAATCCCTGGAGAAGGGGAATTTTCGTCATTCTTGTCCAGTTCGCTTGCACCTTTGCATTTAATTGCATTATAAAAGTAATTGCCTGTTGCAAAAAAAAGAAAACAGAACACAAAAGAAAAAGCAAATAAAGCTGCTTCACTAACCCCAAAACAGCAAGCTTTTTTTTCCCCTTAGTGGTGGCTTTAATTAGTAAGGACTTATTAATTAAACTGTACTTTAAACTCGCGGTAATTCTTTCTTCCGCATTGTTTTCAGTGATTGGACGGATTGATGAATGAATCTGCCCTGTTTGAAAATACATATACCCATTTTCACCTCAAGAAAAAAAGAAAAACGTTTTGGGCATTTTTCATACGCGGCGCGAAGCATAGCTTTTAGGAGATTTAATTGTCGAAGGAAAACGCGATGCTTTTGGCGTTTGGAACGTGTCCCTCCTGATAAGACAACACACATATAATCTAAGATACCAACATAAAGGGGGAAAATCAGTAATGCTCTGCGAGGGGCCGGACTCTTTTTTACTGCGGTTCTTGAGGGGAAAACGGGTAGAGTGATTAAAATCATTATTTTATGGCTACAGGAATTTAAAGTTAGTCGAATTTAAATCAAATAAATCTTATACAAATAATGAAAAAAACTTTTAGCCTTTCCACTCTGGTGATGAAGGAAGACCAGCGAAGCTGTACTGTGGCTGGAATGAAGCAATGGTTGGCTGCAAATCGGCGAGCCAGAGTGAAAAGGCTTGAAAGGTTGCAGTCACCTACGAGCGACGACAGCAGCCAGACAACCGCCAAGCCGGTTCTCTGGTTGCCGTCGTCGCTTATAGATGGCGCTAGCTGTCCAGAGTTTTGTGTCATCAGGTCATTTGAGGACGGACACGATCTTGGGGAAACTAGCGCTTAACAGCTCCACTGTAAAATAAATATAGTTTATTTGTTTGTTTGTATTTTACCGTAATTTTTTTCCACCTTGCCTCACACAGTCTCGAGGTTTTTTCAAAGATGAATTTTCACCAGCTCGCCTGTTGTTTGAGTGTTTTATAACTGAGGCGAGGACTCGGTAGTTAATCTCAAATACATTGTCAACCTTTTCGCGTGTGGCCTTGTCCTTCGAAGGTAAAGACGCTTGTAGTTGAAAACGAGTCACGACTAAAAGTGAGCATAGCAGGTGGCACACAGAGTAGTGTCGATTCTGGCTTCGCCCGCCAGTATGCTTCCCTACATTTCCCTCTACCTTCCTTCACCCTGGGAAGTTTAGTCAGTGAAAAACTGTCGCTCGTTCGCTGGGGAAGGACTTATATTTAAGGAAGCCCTCATGTTGGAACAATATTCCACAAGAAGAATGTCCGAGAATACGTCGAGCAGTGTTTTGGGGGAAAAAAAAGAAAAAAAAAGACTAGTCTGCGTTCAAGTCAGAAGAAAGAAGTTTCGGGAATATACTGAACTCTACGTGAAATGGGTGAACGATATATCCTCTTCGCCAAAGGCCACGTAAAGAGCAGCTTAGCACATCTAAACACAGTCAGGAGGACTTTAAATTGGAAACAAGCTGCCATCGATCGAACAATTGAAACGGACGACTTCTCCAAAATCGGGACGAAATCACATATCAACTATTAAAGAGTTTCAGATCGTACCGATAACTCCGACCCCGCTAACGATACGATGCATGCGTCGGCAGAGTGTCGTTGCCGGAGATATTGGAACCGTTGAGCTCATTGTCTTTTGGGTCATGAACTGGACTACGCGATTTGTTGCGGACGGGTTCATATCACACTGGCCACAAACGCTAATTCAAATATTTGTCAACGGATCGAGTGTCAACGGGTGCATACGTCCATGTGACGCAGTGCTCGTGTCCAGCCGTCCAGCGCAGCTCCCTCGCTGGTTGGGAGAGCTTTCGTTTCCGGTAAAAAGGCATACTACTTGATGCTACGGCCAAGTGATTTCAGAAGTTGGTGGCTTAGTCCGGTTGAGTCGAGGAGGAAAGCCGACGCGAGTTTTCATTTTCCTTTTTTTGTGCGAAGAGGCAGTAAAACGAAAACAAATTCCTGCTCCGGGTTCTATGAACAAGAAAGATTAATTAAGGTCCTCATTTTGAAAAAGCCGGAAAATCATTCCGTGGTCCCTTTAAATTCGGTGATCGCTCGTCCCTACTAAACTATCGACCCATCTCACTAACGAGTACCATCTGTAAGCTTCTGGAACACGTTATACATTCTCAAGTCATGAACTTCCAGAAGACCATAACGGCTTCAAACAGCAGCATGGTTTTCGCAGGTGTTACTTGTGACACTCAACTTGCCGGATTTGTTCAGGACTTACACTCATCTGTAGATGCTGGTATTCAGGTTGATGGAATTTTCTCAGCTTTTCTAGGGCTTTTGAGCGCGTCCCTCACCACAGGCTTCTGCTAAAACTTGCCCTATTGAATATCCACCCTCATGTTCTCGCATGGATAAAATGCTTCCTCTCATCTAGACATCAGCTCACTTCCGGTGGTAATTCTAACTCTTCCTTTGATGAAGTGACGTCTGCAGTTCCACAGGTCAGCGTGCTTGGTCTCTTAAGTTTTTTTTTAAATTTTACATTAACGACTTACCCACCCGTTTCTTTCCGAGTTCGACTATTCGCAGATGACTGCGCCATTTATCGTAACATTTCTAATAACACCAAAAGCCAAACCCTTCAGTCCGACCTTAATGCAGCAAGCGCATAGTGTTCAACCGGGCTCATGACAAGTGTCATGAGCCAGGTTGCAGTATGTGATGTACTAATTGCTCATCTCCAATCATAACCACATACTTTCTAAATAACAATGTTGGAGGTCAATGATCAGAACGTAAGGGCGCAAGTGAGCTGGTGTACATCAAACATTCTTGTGAAAAACCCGAGACTGAGGTATTGACAGGCGACAAGGAGAATGTCTCACATGAGACGTTCTCCTTGCCTTTATTGTCGTCGTCTGTCAATACCTCAGTCTCGGGTTTTTCACAAAAATGCGGGAGGTCACTTTTATGTATAAGTACCTAGGTGTTACTTTTCAGCCCGATTTAAAATAGCGCTAACACATTAATCCTCCTGCATCTGCTAATCGTTCACTTAACAGATCCGGCGCCTGCTGCTCACTTAAAACTTGCCTACATCACACTAACCCGCCTCAAAATTGAATACGCTTCTGTTATTTGGAGTCCTGACTAGGCTTACATCATAAACAACATCAAATTCCTGCAAAACCATGCTGTTCGTTTTTTAATTTATTCTTAGTCAATGCTTTTTAGTGTTACAGAATTTAAAAAAAAATCATACCCAACTGCAAGCCTCGTCTCATTGCCGGAAGCTCACTTGTCTAACACTGTTCCACAAACTTTATCATAATGTCTCGCTTCACTATGATTTTTCAGGCACCTCACATTATTTTTCCACGCCGAGATCACTCATTAAAGTTAAGCGTATCACATGCCACTCATCTTTGTACCCAAGCATTCGTACCGCGAACAACAATCGATTGGAATGACCTGCCGCACATAGCGACTGAAGACCTGACAAAATTTCAAGAACTTGTGTGTACTGACAATACCATCTACATAGTTTTTATTATCTTTTTCTTGTCTACTTATATGTACTCATCTATCCTGTTCATCGTTTTCACGTGTTTTGCTGTTTGTTTTGTAGTCATACTTACATTATTTATTTTCTGTATATTTATGTACATGTAAGCCCACTTACACACAAGAAACATGGCCACCGGACCAGACAAAGCTGTCAAGTCGCTGACACAAGCGTGTAGAGCGCACATTTACAAGCGCTATTGCGCAAATGAGAAGCTTGATAAAGACGCACGCTTGCGTTGTAGTTTTAAAAATGTTTACGCTAAGCGTGAAACGGGGTTGTCACATCCTTCATTGTGGCCTTCCGACCTCCCACATTCCTGTTTGCCGAAGTAGCCATTTTCCACGCACGATTCACAGCTTATCTCATGAAATATCAAATCATTGCAACGGTCCCCAGACGTGACGATGGACGTGCGGAGCCTCATTATCACACCCCCATCCCAAGATCCAGATCTACACTGAGGACCCCCACCCTCCATCTGATGGACAATGCTATCCCCTCACGTGCATGACGGTGGAGGGACTTGAACATCAAGTTCAGGTGGCCGCGAGCCCCGAGATGCTCTCCATCACGGATATCCGCCAAAATCGCAACGATTGGCAGCACAGACCTATTACATAGTCCTGCCAAGAGCCGGAAATGGGGGCAACAAAATAAGGACGCAAGAAATACCCCAGTCGTTGACTTGTTCCACACACGATGCTCCCAGAAATAACTGCGTGCATCATGTAGCGCAAGTTTGGGTAGAATACCCCCAAAGCAGTAGGAATGCAAAACAAAAATACAAGCTAAAAATATATTTGAACAGAGAATAAAGTAAACAATACTCATCACAAACTTCTGAAGATACTCATTTTAAACCAAACAGATTCAGAAAATTAAAAAAAAAAAACAAAAAAAAAAACAGGATTTCTGTTGATTAATGGACATCCCAGACTGAACAGCAAATCATGACCCGCACTGGTCGTACAGCTCTTACCCGGGATGCCATACTAAGATGAGCACTGTAGCTCGCTTAATTTACTACACAGACCAGCACAGAAAGTCTAAGACAAGCTGCACTCTCAGAACGAGTGAGGTACACTAGGTCTGCAATCATAAATATGTAGCTACAATTGAATGCACCTCCTGCGAAGTTGATGCGCGACTCCACTGCCCCTGTGAGGGCAGCAAATTCAGCGCAGAAGACGAGGACAAGAAAGGGACACAAACAGGGCTCTATCTGCAACTGAAGCTTTATTCGTGCTGGTGTCCGCTATAAACACTACTGACACCAACAAAATGTGGCTTGTTTTGTTGGCGTCTGTAGTATTCATACTGGATGCCAACACGAATAAAGCTTCAGTTGCAAGAAACGCCGTGTTTGTGTCCTTGCGCTGAATTTGCAGTCATGAATTACCAACCAGCACAATTATCAACCCCCTGAGGGCCCATGCTGGTGAAACCGCTGTTAAGATTGCTATCCTTCCTTCTCCACAGGCAGCACACAATAAAGGTAAAGTATAAAACATTTTTATTGGCCCCAACCTGTGGCACAGACCAGCGGGCAAGGTGGATGATGATAAACTTGGCGGGGTTCCCACGAACAAACGCTTGGTTTCTGTGCAGTGGCCACGAACAAGCGCTGCAGTGTGCCTGATGGCAAAGGCAGCCAAAGAAACGATTCCACTGGAGGGTCATCTACTGGGAAGAAAAAAATGGATTGCAACAACCTCAGGCTCTGTTCTAAGCTCATCAAAAATCAGAGCCGCAAAACACCCCAATCAAATACTTCTCACATTATTATGAAGTGGAACTACATATTACCATAATTTAATTACATTTTTGGAGTAACTTGTAGCTTAACTTAGTCCGGTTACTGTCACTTCTTAAAACCTATGCTGACACACACACCAATTCACCAGACTCATTTCGTGTCAACATCGTCGTGCAATGTTGTCGCTATCTCGAGCGCTACTGTGAGAACAGTGCTGAATCAAAATGGAACGGTGCCAATGCGCCGAGAAACTAAAACAGGAGGAGGAGACGAGAGTGTGCAGAGACGTCAGAACACCGAGCTCTGATTCGAAGGATTAGTGGTTAGACCTAAAGCTAGCTGCTTTTGTCTCCACTGCACTCGTCGAACGCGTTCGAATACGAAAGCTAAACACTGGACGCTGGGGTTCCGCATTCTAGTCTGTTCGACAAGTGCAGTGGAGGAGCCAGCCAAAAAAAAAAAAATGAAAGCCGTTTACAACTTCCTGTAACGCCGAAATAGAGAATTTGCTTTAAGTGCTGGACAAACGAAGGGCACTTTGTGTTGTGTTCTCATGTGACGTGTTGGGGCGGAACTCGCTGCTTGTGTTTTTGCTGCTGAGACATCCCACAAGTATACAGTGCTGTAAGCATTGCCAAGCAATTCCGAAAAAAGAAAAAGAAAACTTGCTATTGTTTTACTGGTTCCCGGCGTGACAGATTTTTATGAAATGTAAGCAGACGTAAAACAATGGATTGCAAGCGTCCCGGCTGGTGCCTCTCGTGCAATCATGTTGACATGCACATGAGGGCAACTTCGCAGGCTTGCAGTTATACGTGCTTCATCGCGCAAGCGGAGACAACGGCTGCTCGACCGAAACCAAAACCATGCCACTCCGCTCCGTCGCCAACTGGTTCCCAAAATAGTACGCAAAATGTAACTGTCCAGCATACGACAATAAACAGTCCAGCAGCGCATGCTTGCAAGGCCGGCAGGCAAGGTACAGGCTAAACACACAGAAAAAAAGAACCTGAGCGTATCGATGCAAGACATTGCGAATCAGGGTCAAAAAGCTCTTGGAGCGTATTGTGCAACGACTGAACTCGAGACAAACAAGCGCGGTGTGCGGGTTCAGCGTGCAGACATTGCCTTCTTTGCTTTAGCTCACTTCTCGTCATGAACTTTCTTTCGCGGCAGATTTTTCATGTACCGGGGTCCCTCTAAAAAAAAAGCCCACCGAGAGAAACCTAGGTAATCAATACTTCGCCAAGCAGTTGAGTTAAAGAGGAATTTTTATAGCAGCGTATGATTTAAACAAGAGCAAAAATGTCGATGCATTTCAGTTTAGAAAGCGTCATATCTGCATGCAGCAACGTGGGGATGGCAACACACGACGCTCTCGCGCGACCACAGTCGCCGTGGTCGCGCGAGAGCTTCAGCTCACAAAGTAACTCTCGCCGCGCAAAAACATGGTTTTGTTTCACAGCATGACCGCATGTCTGGCATACAGCACACTAACGTCGAAGTGTCCGCACACGCCCGCGTCTATCGCTAAAAAGTTAAAAAAAAAGAAATTAGAAAAAAGACGAGACGAGATTTCCGAAACAAGAGCCCGAAACGCGAGACGGCGGGAAAAATCATGCAAGACCGAACAGGCGATTGATGCAGGGTACTTTGTGTCGGGCGGCGTCTTGTGCCACCTAGCTCACGCATGCTCAGTTATGGTTCTTAGTTTAGTTTCGTTTTTGAAATGCGACCAAAATTGGTCCTTTGGCGCAGGCTTGGCGCAGATTAGCCATATTTTGGCGAAATGTAGCAGGATGTAGCAGGGTTAGGCCCTTGGCACAGTTTGGCACAACAATCACTTCACTGCAGTCCACAATGGGCTGCAACTTTCCAGAATAGTAGAGAATCGTAAGATCTGGACTGCGCAGGGCTCGAGTGGAATTTGAACCTTGTTTCTCAGCGTGGCGACCGTGTGTGTGGCCAACAGGCGCCAATATGCTTCCCAAAGTAGTCCTTACAAGATTGGCTTCTCTGAAGAAGATACGCTTTCTGCACTTGAAACATGTACATCCGGATAAAAAAAAAAAGAACACTGATCTAAAAATACATGCAGCAGTACCTTCCACTTACCAAACAAGAGGAAAATTAGTTTCGCTCCATGAGGAGCCAGACATATTTACTATAGGTTTTGAAAAGAGAACGAGTATGATAAACTGAAGAAAAGGAACTTCGTTTACTTTTTACGAGCAACTTTTACACCTCTGTACGACATGCATTTCATTTCAACACACTTGTCAAGCTACGACTGGAGAAAAATTATTTCTTAACACCAGAGTTTTGACGACTTTGATACATCTGATGGTTCGCGTATTCAGGAATGAAATCAACAGTACAGTTAAGTACACTAGCTTGTATCGCCTATAAAGCATTGCAAATAACAAATATGAGCTTTTCAGAAGATGGAAGTAATTTCTTGACAAAGGGACGGACAACTGGGACTGCTGAGACAATCCATGTATTCCACAGGCCCACATAAAACACTGACATCGAAAGGCAACAACCTTAACTTGCAGTAAAAAGGCTCAACTGCAGGCGCCCTTTTTGTCCGTGCATAAACAAATAGAAAAAGCTGGAAGGAAGAACTTGGAAAGCAATTTCACGGAAGCCTCACAGCTGTGTTGTACATGTCCTGTCCTTCAATGTGTCATTCTTTCGCAAGTTTTTACACAATGCCAATGCACCCACCTCTAAACAGCCTCAAAGTAGCAGTCAAGATTTCGCTGAGACATTTAGCCTCTTTAGACACAACTATGACTGCAGTGATGTGATTGGCCTGAATCATTTGGGAGCAGCTTTTGGAGCAGCCAAAAGTCCATTTTGGAGGAACAAAGATCTTTTGGACCATAAGCAGACCCTTCATGTTTATTCATACCACTGCGAATAAAAAGGGGCGATGCAACGATTTTTGTACTTTTTTCTTCTTCGCAAATACAGCTAGAACTGATTTCTGACGTTAATGACCTGTGAAACACCCGTTCGTTCTTCACCAGAAGCAATCGAAGTCGAAGAAAAATTAAGGAAAAACGAGCAGCGTTCACCCTTCAACTCGCAGCCAGAACAAGTGGCCACGTGATCTGGAGTCGATTATATGACGCCAATGCTGACCATAGCCACGCGCTGAAATTGGCAAGGCGCAGGACACACACTGAGTCTTAGACATTGTTATGGTTCAGCTACTGTCGTCATTGCAGCAATTGGACACTTGCCACTTCCCGAATGTTCCTCGAGCTATCCATTATCACGAGCCCAAACCAAATCGAGTGCCCATGCAATGCTCAAGTTCAATCTATTAGCCGCATTCAAATATTGTCACTGGAGGATACTGCGGCTCCCCAGTTACGTCAAGTTTTGCGAAGGAGCGACTGAACTGAAACACTCGCTTTTGTCCTTGTAATTACACAGCAACAAAGGAGTTTTTTAGCCGGTGGCCTTGTGTGCGAGTATCCTTAAAGTGAAAAACATTCCAATTGAATGTTGTAGCACCGCTCCTTTAAGATTTGAGTGTTGGCCGATCCAAGTAGAAAAACATGCCCACTTTGCCTTCACACTTCTGTTCAACTTTTTGTTAGGATAAACTGAACAGCAGGTTTGACTCCCTTGAACACAGAAGAAGCTGTTTAGTTGCACATAGAAGCACTAGCCATGGCAACAAGAAGCTGACTGATGAAGGTCAGTATAGACTGCTGTGAATGGTTAAAGCAAGGAGGCAGGCAAAAATGAAATGTAAACCAAATAGTATATTCCTCAGAAATAATGTAAGAATAATCTCAAGCACAGAAATTGATGCTTCATTTAAGTTCTAAAAGTTGTACCAAAATTAAAATTATTCATTTAGATTAAAAATAATACATTTTGTCATTGGATTATGAACATAACCATCAAACTCCATGCTAGCAGAAACCGGCATGTGAATGATAAATGTACTAGTAAGGTTATTCCCCACTGCATCTAATTTAGTTTTATTTCATTCCATGGACTGTACTTCAAACACACAAAACCTATGTAAAGGCGGTAACTAAACAGAATAGGTGAAAGTAAGAACTTGTGGAGCAGTTAATATAAAGTTTCTTGCAAATAGTACCCTCGCTAAATATTGAATTAAAAAAAAGATATCGCCAGGATACTTCAGTCTATCATAATTAGTAGCGGCAGTTAAAAACTTTTTCCTGCAAAGTAGTCGTTACATTAGCACTCAATAAGTTCTCCCTCCCTTTTTTTTAAAAAATATATCCGACGCCTGCATGTTGAACATATCCCGCTTTAGGGAGTGCATTCCCTTTAACAAGAGAGTGCACTGTGGCAAAGCAAAACAAGCAAAATCAGGCAATTACTTCGCGGTTGTTGTTTCACTGCAGTACATGAGAGTGCGGTAAGAAGCACATTGACAAAACTAACTTGCTGCAAACATGACTCGATATTGTGAAATTCTGAGTAATGCCAGTGTTCGACAGAGAGATCAAATCGAATAGTATGTTATCTAGGGCGACAATTGAAAGTTCTGAAAATTCGCACAAGCCTGCCATTACCATTCGGATGTGTAGCGGGGGGAGAGCAAATTTCTCACATTTTGGCTAAATGTAGCAGGATGTAGCAGGATAAACCCGTTGGCGCAGCAACTGCATCACAGCGAATAACATATAAAATTGATTTAAAACTCCCTTTTTTTGCAGATACCGGCTACTTGAACAGGTCAGTAGAGATGCCCACCTTCCTGACATACCCTCTCTGGAGCAGAATGCATTTGTGCTGTTTGTGGCAGCTTTTCCATGCCCTGCTAAAACCACTTTTCGGAAGTGCACCGCACCCACAGCCGAACAGCTGCTTCCAGCTCATCAATGACCGCTGAATGGCTTTTTCGCAGGAGTTCTTTCATGGGCCCAAGCATGCGATAGCCACTGGGGGTCAGAGCCCTACTTCACGTGATTGCATGCGACGCCGTGAGCGCACAAACGTTTGGTCGTTCATAGAGGCAGGCCTACTTTCAGACACATGAACCATCTTTTAGACACGTCACAGGACCTGCTGGACGTGCATGTGAAGGGGCCAAATTCGCCCCTAGTGGCTGTCACCCATTTGTGGCCACATAAAAACTCCCTTGAGAACATTAGTTTGCAGCCACTGATGAGCGGCTGTCTAGGCCGTGGGTCCAACGTACTTCGAAAAAGTGGTTCTGGCAGGGCATGGAAAGGCTGCTACACAGGCGGCGCAGACGCATTCGGCTAGAGGGGGAGTATGTTTGGACATGTTTACTGACTTCTAAGTGGCTGGAATTTGCAGCAAAAACATCAACTGTAAATGAATGTGGTACACTCCTTGTACAAGACAAGTCTCCCAGTGAAACAAAATGTCGGTTGCCACTTTAGTTGCATGATTCAACACACCAAAATTTCATGCAGCCAGAACATGAAGCCGTGAAAAAAGGTTAGAAAAAACCTGGTCGGACTAGGCAAAGGGCAAAGGAGAAATATGCCTGATGCATAGCAGTCATGCAGTCAGGTATAGAGACTGACAATTCTACTTACTCAGCTGTATAGGCAAGGGCCGCTTCAGTTAGGATGGCTAACTTTGGTCCGGCAACCCTGCAGGTGGGAAGAGCATCAGTTGAGAATCCAGCAATCAAGTAGACCCTTTTCTCACACTTGGTAGACACAAATATTGAGAGCTAGATCGCCTTATAAAAATCTTCTCAGAATTAAAACTGGGCTGCCAGTTTTATAAGTGGGAAAAAATTGGGAAGCTTTTACAGGCTAAATCTAGAATACATGGTCCCTCCAATGAGGGTGAGATGTTCTGGCAATGTTAAACAATCACGGAGCAACCCTAATTAGGAAATGTAAAACTTTCCTCCCAACTGACTTTGAAGGGGTGCCAGAATGCCGAAAATAAATTTATGTGAGATAAACCCTGAATGGTTAAAAATAAAAGTTTCTGAAACCAGTTTTTTGGAAGTTAATATACACAAATATAACATTTCTAAAAACATTTTCTCAAATTTTAAATTTCCAGGATAACACACAGCAGTATCTTTGTTCACCACATAAAAGTGAAAATTAGTTGCGCTCCATGAGGAGCCAGAATTTTATACTAGGGGTTTGAAGTTGAAATGAGCATAGATAAACTGAAGAAATTATGTTTTATTAATTTCATTACTTTTTATCATGCTTGTCACATATTACTGGACAAAAATTACATCTTAAACCCTCAAATGGGGAGCGTTTCTTTGGTGTGCGACCATGCCTTGGTGAGCTTTTCATTTTCACTAAAAATCTCAAGAATTATTTTTGCACAAAAAATTTTCTCTTCTTTTTCTATGCGAATGAGTAACATGTTGCTTTTTTTTTATGCTTAAGCACAGGGAAGGGGAGAGACTGTTAATTTTTACTTGGCTTTGTAAAGTAGGTAATGAAGACAGGTGTCTTATAAGTAGATTCGAGAAAAAAAAAAATACAATGTCATGGTTGGCTTTTATATATTCCCAAAGTTTTGCTGTCACTCAGCATGTACTCATTTCCAAGTCATCGCCACCACTTCGCTGAAGTAGTGAAGTGATTTCCGAGTCTCAAAGCTTTGCACCGCTTCCAAGCATCCATGATCCAGAACGGAAACAAGTAGATGTATTACCTGACAAAGCACTTCATTTATTTCTCCAGCCAGTGAATGCAAATCAACTGAAATGCATTTAGTATTGCATTCAAGAGATGAGAGCATTTATACCCTCCATCAAAAATTGGTACACATTCCACAGCACGCTCTCCCCCTCCATCTAAAGGAAGTGCAATGAGTTTTTAGACACACTCCATATTTCAAGGTCAAAATAGAGGCATGCTTAGAGGCACGCCCCAGTTAAGGGGACTGACACTGGAGTTTTCAAGCCTTCCGATATATTCGACGGCTCTTGTATTCCAGAATGAAATCAAAAGTATGGTGAAGTGCAGTAGGTTGTATCAGCGTTACAGAGTTGCAAAGAAATATAAACTTGTAGAAAGATTGCAAGAATTTTTTGATGAAGGGACAGACTACTGGGACAGCTCAGACAATCTTTGCACTCCAGAGGCCCACATGAAACACCGATGCTTAAAGGACAAACGCAACTTGCAATAAAAAGGCACAAGTAAAGGTGCCTGCCTTTGTCTGACTGGCCACAAGTCACCAAGTAGTCAAGGCTGCTAGAAAGAACTTGAAAGCGACCTCACGGAAGCCTCAAAGTGGCAGCAAGGATTTCCTTAAGAGGTTTAGCTTCTTCAGACATAAATATGAGGGGTGTAACATACTGATTTACAATTAATTTACTGCACATGCCGGCCACACAGAGGTTAGCAGAGATGTCCACCTTCCAGACATACTTCACCTCGTGCCGAATACATGTTCACCACCTACGTCGCAGCCCCTTCCATGCCGTGCCGAAACCACATTTTGGAAGTCCATTCCACCCATGCCTGGACAGCTGCTTCCAGCTCATCAATGATTGTGGAACGGCATCCTCACAGTAGTTATTTCATGGCCCAAAACAAGTGATAACCATTGGGGTCTGGATCCCCGCTTTATGTGAATGCATGCGACGCCGTGAGTGACCACCGTCTGATCGGTTTGGACCATCTTTCAGACATGTCGTACGACTACCCAGACATTTGGTCGTGCATGTGTAGAGCCTGACCTGACCATCAGCAGTTGCCACCTGTTCGGGGCCATAAAAAAACCTCGCGAGAATGTCATTTTGCCGTCACTGACGAGCTGGAAGCAGCTGTCGAGGTGTGGGCATGATCTACTTCCAAAACGTGGTTTCAGCAGGGCACTAAAAGGCTGCTATACAGGTGGCACAAATGCATTCTGCACCAGGGGGAGTATGTCAGGATGGCAGACATATCTACTCTCCTTTAAGTAGCTGGAAACTGCAGTGAAGAAATTAACTATGAATCAATATGGTACATCCCTCATACAAGTCACCCAGTGGAATGAAACGTCAGTTGCCACTAAGGCTTCCAGGAGGGTCCTCCCACGATTTGTTTAGCCGCGTGATTTGACACACCAAAGTTTACTAGTACCATGCAGCCAGAACATGAGGCTGCAAAGGTTAGAAAAAGCTCTGTTGGACTAGGCAACAGCCAAAAGAAAAATATGCTTAATGCATAGCAGTGATGCAGTCCAATATAGAGGCTGACATTTCTACTTACCCATCCGCATAGGCAAAGGCCGCTTCAGTTAGGATGGCTAACTTTGGTCTGGCGACCCTGCAAGCGGGAAGAGCGTCAGTCGAGAATCCAGCAATCAAGTACACCCTTTCTTCGCACTTGGTAAAAACAAAAATCGGGAGCTAGATCTCCTTACAAAGATCTTCCCAGAATTATAAGCGGGCTGTCAGCAGAAACGGAGGTACGATTACCACAGGGGCCAAAGCAGTCCTGCGATTCACGCCCATAAAGCGCAGCGTTATCAGTATGCTGGAAGCAGTGCCACATTGCACTCTGGGACTTTTAAAGGAAATACTAACAAAAAAGGGCAGATTGAGCATTTTATTTTACTCTGTAGAGCTACTGTTCAGCTGTAAATGGGAACCCGACAACCTTATGTTTTTGGTCTTCTCGTATAAAACACTACTGCCAGCTTACCCATGGCACTGATAGGAACACAGGAGGCATGAATTGGGCAACTACTTGGCCGAGCAAGCGCTGGCCAAACCTCCCCTTCTAGCCCAGCATATGCACGTGCTGTGAACTTCGCACTAAAGGTTGTGATTTTGTGAACACTGAAAAGGTGTGCAGATGCCACATGGAGTAACCCGTGTGTGTGGAGCACACCAGGGGCCCTAAACTCGTAAAACACGAAGTTGGGGCCGAAGTTGAGGGAGTGCACCGATTGGACAATCACAACGATGACTTGGCGTTTTTGTCGCCAACATCCAATCGGCGCACTCCGCGAACTTTCGGCCCGAACTTTGTGTTTCACGAGTTTAGGGCCCCAGCTGTGCAGTCAAAGGCAACGTCACTTGATCAAAGAATGCCTGGTGCCTTTTCGTGGCACGTGCACTCGCTACAATAGAGAGTTTTAGTAGATCGTTCCAATGACTCCGATAACGATACCCGATACTCCGCCACCGCCTCCCCTTGCGCATGCATAGTATCGTTATCGGGGCTATCGGAACGATCTACTAAAACTCTCTACTATGAGCCCGCTTAATGCACAGAAGCTGACGAATCGGTGAAATGTCAGATGCACGTTACCTGCAGTGGAAAGGAATTTTATCGGGATATTTATGGTAAACAATATCAGCGCAAAGAGAGCGTCCTCGAAAATTGTTCTCCTCCGCTGTTCATGGAGGCATTGACGCCGGTGGGGCTAGGAACGTTACCAGCCCGCACCTGCTCGTGTGCAAACAGAAAAGAACCGATTTCGAACGCCGCCCTTTTTGTCAGCTGATAGATTTAAGAACGTTGGTCAAAGGTGCCCATGCGCTCGCGCACCGTGGGTGGACTAAAGCGGTACAGTACACACTACTTTTCAGAAATGCCACAGAGTTTGTTTACAAATCCGCAGCACGCGCGCGTTCGTCGCTTCAAAAAACTACCAAAGCACGCGCCGTAATTGCATCAGCTAGAAACCAGCTCGCGGACAATGCAATGAAAGGTACTTACAAGAGCGCGCGCTCGAACACTTTGACCGCTGATTAGGGCTGTGTACGTGCACACATCTTTTCGGAAATGAGTGGAACTACTCGGCTAGGGTGTCTCTTGTATGGTACGGACCCTCGGAGCCGGCTTTCGCTTATCAAGGAAAACGGGCTGGGAGGACACTTGGCAAACACAGGCTCTAGAGCGACAATCTTGATGGCGTGGAATGAACGCTGCGAAGGAGTTATGCAAGCTGACCGACATGAAATGTTAAGCATGAACCGGTCATACTAGCTGTAGCCATTTCCACTTGGATTAAGCACTCATGCCTCCTCCGTGGCAAGACCACAAGCCCACGAGTCCAGCGAGAATTTCTAAGCCTGTTCCTAGGTGCAGAGGGTACCTACCGCTGTCGTCTGTGTTTACAGTAGCTCACAGTTTGGTCGGTCCCCAGAACATTGGACATGGATCAAAAGCATGCACACTTGAAAGTTTTGACGCGCTCAAACAAATCATGAGACCATGCTTCAGTGAAACCGATACCACGGCCACGAGCACACCAAGAACACGAGACCACGAGACCGACTAGAGACTGCGGATGCTGCGCACGGCGGACCCCACCGAACACGGTCAGCCACGGTTGCCACTGTGGTTGCCACGGTGACGGTCCCCACCCCTACCAACTTTACTCTGCTCTCTGTACGTGATTTGGGCCTTCTGCTGGAAGTGCTTTCTCTACGCACTGCAAGTATTTATTCACACTGATCAGTTTCTTTTTCGAAAGCACTAAACATTATTTGCACACGTCACTGCGTCTTATACGTGAATAAAGTAAATTACGACGCAAAACACACACACACACGCACTATACCTCCGTCAAAACGCTCACTCTCAGGTTATAATAAGATTGAAATAAAACTTACGATATACCGCGTTAAGTACTTTTCAACCAACCTAAGAAGGTCAAGAAGCAACAAAGTTACGCTAAAGCTTAAACGTCTGGTGGCGCCACGGCGCCGACGGCGCCACCACGCGTCATTGTTGAGCGACGTGTTTTTCTGGTGTTTTTGAAACGGCATATTTTGCCGTCTGCGAAATGTCTCGTTGCGCCGAGTCAGTCGGCCTAGACAGCTATTGTTATCGCTTTCATTGCCGAAGCTCTGGCTCTGCGGCCTAGTCAGCCTAGTCAGCCAGCCCCGAGCAGAGGGTTTCAGTGAGTGCGGTAGTGCCACCGGCATAAATCCTCGTGAGCTCGCCCGGCTCGCGACCACTCCTCGTGACATTCAGTCAGTATTGCCCAGTGCCTGCTCTGTACACCACGCTTCCTGCCTGCCGTGCTATCTCGCCCGGGCCGCGTTCCAATTACGGCTTGCTTTCCACGCGTATAGCTCGGCGGTGGACGTCTCCATATCGTATAAACAGGTAAGAAATCAGCCGTCCGTCTCTTGCCTCGATACACGTCATCGTTCCCGAGTCCGTGAGCCCCGCGTTCGATTCCAGAAGAACGCGTCTAACCCCAGCCCGGTTGCTGCGCCTTCTGATTTCGCGTAATGGTTTTTACATTTTCCGATTTTCCTCTCGACAGTTTTGACGTCGCGCCAAATAGAACACGGTAGGTTCAGCGAGCGAACGCTGTTCGAATTCGGTAGTTTCGGAATTCTGAGTTGTCAAAAATGGCGTCTCGGGAGCGCGCGCTCCCGTTCGCTTTCTTGCACTGAGTTTTGTATCCTTGGGCCGAAACGCAGGCGAAATGTCGAACGTTCTTCCCAAACGTGAGCGGCGGAGGAAAGTGAAGCCCAAGCTCTCGTTTGGGTCTTCGAGCGGAGCGTGTAGTAGCCTGCCATCGTGAGTAGAAATTTCGGAATTTCTCCGCGTTAGTTTCGGAAGTGAGAAAGTGACACCACTCCTCTTGCCTTCTGCGGTCATCTTTCTGGCTGCAGTCCAGGTTGCATCTTTCTGGTCACAGTCCAGCGTGCTTGTCCGGCTAATGTCGTGCCGCTGTGGGAAGCTCGAGGCCATAAAGTTCAAAAGCAGGGGGCGTGGCTGCAAAAATTTAAAAAAATTCTTTGCCTAGCGTTTTTTTCCCTCCTGTTTAGAGTGCCGTTCAACGGCACTCTAGCAGAGCTATATAATTATAGTGCAATTCAATGCAAAGGTGCAAGCGAGCTGGACAAGAATGAGGAAAATAATCCCTGGAGAAGGGTTCCCCTTCTCCAGGGATTATTTTCATCGCACTCTAGCCGAGCGTTCAAGTGCCATCCGACGGCACTCCACTCAGGTTTTTAAAGGGGTACCCCGGGGATTTTTTTTTTTTTTTTTTTTTTTTTTAAGCTACCGCCGTGACGTGACGTCAGTGGAAGGCAGGCTTGCCAGGCGAGCAAACACTAAAAATAGATCAAGCAAAGCATTTGTTCCGTGCCGTGTGCCGGAGAGCGGATACTGAAGCGAGCCTCCAAAGCATTCGACACCATGAAACTGCTTTTAATCAGTTGGGAGCAAAATCTACAGCCCTAAAAGTGATTCCCCTGGCATCACTTTTTCATTGTTGCCGGTATACTTTCAGTTAAAAAAAACAAACACTGAGGGCCAGAATTGTAAATTCAATAACTAAACAAAAAAAAATATTTTGATTTAGTTTTTGGGATACTATTCCAGCATTGTTCGTTGGTGTGTTCAGCAAATTTCCAGGCAAATCAAGGACAATGAAGAAATCCCCGGAGTACCCCTTCAACTGGCGTCCAAAAGTGTTAAGCACAAGTCACTTATTCTGACATGTGTTCCATCAGCCGCTTACTGACAATTTGTTTTAAGATGAAGCGCAAGCGAGGCAAACAATACAGGAGTGAGCACATTGCTTTCTTGTGTAGGTTTATGCCTGCCCAATCTTCTGAAGTTTGCTGAAGTGGCACTCTCCCAAATGTTGCAATTGTACTTTCAAATATATTTTAGTTTAAATCTCACATTCTCCAGTAACAACTACATTGATTCTAAATATTTTTGAGACCGTAGAGCTAGGCATGCTAACCATTACGCTATTGAAACGAGTCGGGGATGTCATCCTTTGGTTTTCAGATATTATTTGTTATAAGAAACATTTTATGGCATCCGAGTATACACATGATTAGCAAATTTAACAGAAAATAAAGTACAGTGAAAGTAAGCATACTAATTTCGGCCACAGAGTGCCAGAAGCAAGACATTCTTCACTAAATCGCAGCATTTGCTCGCTAGGACGGCACTCAAATGCAGGCTGAAAGTGCCGTCGGACGGCACTTGAACGCTCCGTAAGAGCGCCGCCTAACGGCACTCGAGACACTGCATTTTTTTTTGTGTGTGTGTTTTGTTTATTTTGGGCTCTAGTTAGAATCCGTGGAAGTTGGAAAATTTCGGCGCATTCTGCTGCTGGTTTTAAGGGCCGCTGGCCCACATTGCTTTTGGGGATTGTCTCTTGACCTCAAGCGTTTATTTTTGTTTTCAGTAATATGCAAGCCAATTTGCCCGAACTATTCGAGCTCCTCAAGGTTCAGTGAGTATATATGCCTCTGTCAATTATATATGTATGTATTGCAAGGATCTTAGAAGTATGGTGATTTAATACTGATGGGATTTAGTGAAGGTAGATGGAGTGACAACTTGACAGTTGGGGCAAACGAGCCGTTGAAACGAGCTCAACCACCATGAGCCTCCGAGGGTCGGTCCTACCGCGCATGCCCCTCATCTTCTTTTCCCAACAATATCTCCCGGTTGGCGAAAACTCCGGCCATCCGGCGTTGAGCGTGTAAGGTGCGATTGTCGGGTGTCTGGGCGGTAACGTGGTTGCATTCGGGCGACACGCACATTGTCGGAGGTGGGAGAACGACTATCTCGCACCAGATATTTGAAGATCTGAACAAGAACCCAGTCTGACAGTTGCATCAACGTTGCCTCTCGATTGACTGCAATTGTTATTCGCGCCAGCGGCCAAGTTGAGCTTGCTGCCTATGTCAGAGGCAGCAAATCTGACCTCTGCCTGCATCCGAGTGAAGCATTGCCTGTCGCTCTGCGCTTTCTCTCCGTTGTTTGAGCAATGTTTACTCCGGTTGGGATGGCCCGTATTGAGGAATAAGGTTGTCTTTGTTTATTACGCCATTATTTCACAGTTGGGTCCTGTACGTCCCGTTTCTGTAAAACTTTTGGCAAGCATTAGTGCCTTGTCGGTTGTTTAAGGGGTGTTCACTCGAGAGAAATCCCGTAGATTTCCCCCTTTTGTGAATACCATTCAAGTGCTCTGGCAGGTCTGCGTTCTAGTGTATCAAGAAAAAGCTCTTTCTCGTGCATGAGGAAAGATTTGTTGCCGAGTTGTTTGTTAGTGTACAGGCCCCATTCAAGATGGCTGGTATTTACAGAAAACACCCTTTTTCTCCCTTTAGACACGGCTTGGCCGAAGGCAAACCCTTTCACTCGGAAACCAACGGGTGCTCTTCAGAGTGGTCATCTCGTAGTGGACAGAGGTAAAAAAAATGTTGAGAGGGGGTTGAGGTCTATCTGAGAACAGCCTATCCCTATATATAGGGTGCCTGAGCTGCTGTTACTGAAACTTTCGATCCACAACTATCGTAAAGTGCCAAGCATGTGCCCAAGTCACCCACTCTTTTTCGAAGGCTCGCAAAATAAATTAAAGGGGCGGTGCAGTACTTCGCACAATTCGCCCCCTCAAGTATCGGCCAGAACAAGTTGCCACGTGACCTGAGGCCAATTATATGTTGCCAACATTTATCATAGCCCCGCATTCGGGCTGGCAACTTGGCGCGTGTCCTAGGACGCTCGCCAAGTTCCAGATATTGTTATAGTTCAGGCGATTGTGGTCATTGCTGCGATTGTTCACAGGCCACTTTCCAAATGCTTGTCAAGCTTGAAAAAGACTACAAGAAAACGCTCGCTTGAATTTAAAATTGCACTGCAACAAAGAAACTTTCTTGGTCAGTGGTGTACGCTGGTGCCGGTAAGCTTGTGTAGAATGAAATGTTCCAACGGAATATTGTTGCACCGCCTCTTTAATGTCGCAAGCTCCCACCCCATGGTTCTGAACCCACAGAGTTGAATGAAGGCTGATTCAAACTCTGGGCTGCTCACGGCCGTATTCTTGGAATCTCTTAGGTGGCACGCCCTCTATGAAGTGGCTCTGGAACATCATTTCACTAGTGAAGGTTTTGCAGTATTTGTGAGATGAAATTTACATACTATACATGAGAAATAGTTGTCTATGACATTGTCAAGTTTTTCGAGCCAACAAAGAATATTGTTGCACCCCAAGTTTAGAGCATGTTAACCTACTGTAAACTTGGGGTTTTTGTTGTAGTAGCCAAAGTCCACTCCACGCACTCTGCAAAAAAAAAAAAAAAAAAAAAAAAAATTCCCACTAGCAAAATGTTGCACCGTTCATGCCACGAGCTCGTGCTCTAGGACTCTTTGGTGCACTCTGGTTCGAAAAAAAAAAAAAAAAGCGATCGGAACAAAATAGTTTCACGTCTATTATGTTCTGACTGCTTTCGTTCAGGTGAACGCGACACCGATGCCCAACAAACCCGCTGTGCCGTGTCGCAGCTGTCGTTGAGACTGCCCTGGATTAATGCAGGACTGCTCAATTTTTGCTCTTATACCTAACAAGTGCTCATTGCCCAGGTTTTCAAGGTTATCTTACATTTTGCGCGAGCTCTAGCTGGGTATTTGTGGTACGAGTACAATATCATGACACAGGCTCTAGCTTCATAATCCAGGAGTAATAGTTTTTTTTTTTTATGAGTGCAGACGCTTAGCTTGTTTGTATTTATTCTTGTCCGCATAGGAAGGCAGATCCGGAGGAGAGTCGTACGCCTATCAAGTACATGGCAAACGGGTGAGTGGCACCGCCGAGCCAGATTTTGCCGACATTTTGCTTTGTTGCGAGTCTTGGATGCCAGTTTTGGTGTGTGCCTTCACGCAGGATGAAAGAGAATGGGGGCTTTTATGCCGGGCTGCAGGAGGCCATCATTGCGTCGTCGTCTCCACCGAAGGACACTAGCTTTGCTCTCCCAAATGGGTAACCTGTACCGGTGTTTATGTCGTGGAGATAGTCCTATATTAATTCCTTAATTATTTTTCCTGGAAACTTGTTGGCGCTAGCGTCTGCGTGGGTGCACAAACGCCAACATCCCGTTTTGTTTTTGCAGCCTGCAGAGAAAAGCCTTAGGACCAAAGTTAGCCATCCTAACTGAAGCGGATATTGCAGATATTGTAAAGTAAGTGGAACTTCTGCACCCTCCGTTTGAGGTGGTTCGGGATGTCTCGTTCAAAGACTGCCTGACAATTATAGTATCTGGTCAGCCTTCAAAGGGAAACTAAAGCAGTTCTGTATTTTAGAAAAAGAATGCTTCGTTCACTTTCATTTTTGCCTCCAGTTTTAATTGACAAGTATGTTTTCGATATGGCAGTGAAGTTACTCCTTCCTGGTGCATTTGGTGCAAGGAGAAAAATGTGACATGCTATGTGGAGATTTTTTTTACGTCTTCTGCAAGGCTTACCGGAACCATGAGGTTTCGGTTTGCCTTTCTGCTAGAGTCATTGGCTCGCATCTTTGTTAGCGTAGTTAGTGCGTCATTGCGGTGGATCATGTGTGCGAGGCAGTTCAAGGGCTTCGGCTTACTTCAGAGGTTGTGGCTTAACAAATCCATCCTCGTGTGCGACACGGTGCGCTTGTCGAACGCTTATCGAGTTATGAACGCACACTTCACTTCATAAATCCGGAAGCTTCCTTTGACACGAGGTTACGGTTCTCTGGCACCCAGGAAGCTTCGGGAGTTTCTCCGGGACAATGGGCCCACTCCCGAGACGGAGCTGTGGGCGGAGCTTGAGGCCGAGACGTCCGCTTCGGTCCGGGCCCAGTTCGGCTCGCTGCGGACGCTCCTACTCCGCCAGCGCGGCTTCTGCCAGGTGGAGGAGGTCCTCGACTCGTTTCTCTACTACGAGGAGGAGGAGGAGGAGGAGGACGTGCCTTCACGAGGTCCCGGACCTCTGGCCCCGCCGCCCGCCAAGGTAGTTGGCCGCAGTTTTTCACGTAACACGAACTGCCAGACGTAAAAGGAGTTTTTCGTAGAACCGCTAAACGAGCCATGCTTCAGAACTGGGTCGCTTCAGCCGTGTTGGGAAGGGCCGGTGTTTGCCAGTTGTCGCCAACTTATCATCCGCTTTCCCGACTAGAAAAATGCCGGTGGCACTCCCCATCGTCCCACTCATTGAACCGGTCTGCCGTGGAGCGAAAGGGCAGTGCCAGGATTTCCGATGCCGTATCCAAAGCTTCGCCAGCAATATGGTCGAATCGGGACCACGGGCGTCCGCGTCTTTGAACCACCGTTCCAAAGCGGCTTAAATGAATCCAATTGTTTTCTCTAGATTATTATATAAACTCTACGGATTCTGAACTGTGGAAGCTATGCTAGTCTCGGCAATATAGTACAAAATAGTCAAGACCGAGTATAGCAACAGAGCCTTTGTAACTGTTGGCCTTCATGTCGGTGTGGTAGCGTCTTGACACGCCCCTCTCTTTATCGCGTACAGGCTGGGCGCACGGTTGGTGCGGGCCTTTCGAGGCCTGGGACCAAAACTGTCAGTCTGAGAGCGGCCAGTTTTGGATCGACCGGCGGCACTGGCAGCAGCACCTCCTACGAGTCGGCGGAAGACGAGGAGCCGCCACGAGGCAGGGACGTCCAGACGCAGACAGCGGCCCCCCGGACGTCCACCCGCAGCATGGGCTCTCAGACGGGGCCCCCGACCACCGCAGACTCGTCTGCCCAGACGGAGGGCTTTGACCCGGCCTGGGTGAGCCCGCTCCTACAAACTCCTTGTCTGCTTGGTTCCTTTCCTGGAAGTCCCAGGGAAGGACCTTTTTCAGTAAGCTTCTGCGTGTGCATACACCCTCTCCCCTGGCCTTGCTTCCTGCCATTGGCATTTTTGCAGGGCACGACCAACATTGTCGGCATCCATCTTTGCACAGATATATATATTGTTTTAAATGCATTAGCATTAATTGCTTTGGTGCGTGCAGCTGTCTTGTTTAGATGGTCAAGGTTTGCACTGGACAGGGCTGGTTTCGCGAGGCCGCAGCGCTATCCCGTTGTGCTTTCTTGCTTCGTTTGCTTGTTATGTCCACAATTCCAGTCCCTTGCAAGGGGCGCAACGAGATGAGGCATGGTTCACCACGCTTGCATTGGTGGCGCCACGTACGCGTAGTTGAGCATCTCCCAAATCACTCGGAAGCGGGCGTGGTCGTCCTGGTTGTACTGTCGTCTGCTAGCTTGCAGCCACTTCAAAACTGCGCTCTCGTTACACAGTTAATGCAACTACGCGTATATAAGTGGCATGCACAATGTCCGAAGGTTCATGAAGCTTCCTGCTCGTCAAACTTTAGTGCAAGATCTACATTTCGCGAACGCAGAGCAAACAGTATGCTGACCGTAGGCAGCAATTGAGGGAGGATGCGGTGGCTGCATCCGAAACCACCAAAGCGTGGGAGAAGACTGGCTCTCCGAAGACAACAGTGTGCGAACCGTCGCGAGGTTGGAATTCCCATCTTTCTTCCGAGTGGGAACCGCTTTGCTAAATGCAAGAGAGTGGTTGTTTGGGCGAGTTGGTTTGACATCTTGTGCAATTTTGTGCGCAGCAAGGACGAGGACAAAAGAAGAGAAGAGGACACAGCAAGGCGCAACTTTCAACTGAATTTTATTGAATATGTGTTCCGGTATTATTGTCGCAACCATTGTCACAATGACAATAAAACTACAAAAGCAAAGGAAAATGACCATCACGGAGCATAATTGGAAAATAACTATCTCGATCTCAAAAAAAACAATTCCTTCTCCTATAATGCAATTGACGGCATAGCAACGCACGTGTCCTAAATAATCGATGTGCTCGGCTTCTATGATTTCGCGTGTTAACGTTGACTTGCATTTCCCAATTTTTACGCATCCATCCAACAGTGGGAAACAACCGCATGTCCTGTAATGCAAGTCAAGAAAGCCACCTTTCTTTTTTTGCACATTGTTATTGTGCTCGCGAAGCCAATCATTGTTGCTATGCCGTCGATTGCATTATCGGAGAAGGAATTGTTTTTTCCTGAAAACGAGATAGTGTTATTTTCCAATTATGCTCTGTGATGGTTGTTTTCCTTTGCTTTTGTTGTCATTATGATGATGGTTGAGGCTATAAATACCGGAACACGTATTCAATAAAAATCGGTTGAAAGTTGCGCCTTGTTGTGTCCTGTTCTCCTCTTTTGTCCTCGTCCTTGCTGTCACAAGATTGTATAAGATGCTAAATGCAAACGCATTTCGTCGAGAGTCGGTGTAGCCACATCAGCAATTTCAACGTTGTTTTTCTTTTTTTTTTGTGAATTTGTAGTGTGAGGCATAAAAAGTAATGAAAACCGATACAACGGCATGTTGGGCCGCCCTTCATTTGAAGTTTGCAGGCAACCTCTCGGACGGCGTTCATTGCTCAAAAAAGGTTAATTGGCATCTGCACCTGCTTAGTGGTGGCTACGGCGTGGCTCATGGCAAACTTGTTGCGCTTCCTCTTTGCAGGTGGAGGTTCTCGAGTGCCGTCTCAAGAAGAGGAATCAAGAGATTACAGAGCTTCAGGAGAGGCTCGCACTAATGGAAGAGGAGCACAGGTGTGTTTTTTACGGGTGTAAAGGCAACGCAAAAAGAAAATGACTTTATTCTTTGTCGTCTTTGCTCCTCCAATAGTGCGTCAATGGCGGAAAAGGAATTAAAAACTGCCATCATTGAGGGCTTATTGCAGGTGACAAGAAGACAAAGGATAAAGTTATTTGAATGTAAATTAGTGTTTAAATTGTGCAATTGTATCAAAATTATGAAATACGAAACAAAGCAATAGTAGAACGCAGGGGCGGAACGGTGGCGCCATTTTGCGCCAGACTCATTTGCCTGCGCCATCCCGTGCCATGTTGCAGAAACTGCCACAGCCAATACTTCGCGCCATTATGCACCAAATTGCAAAACATGCGGCGAAAAAATTGTATTTTGTCTTGGTTTTGATTTTTATTGACTCGATTGGCAACAATGAGCGCATTTAGCTTGGTCTGCCTTGCAATCCTTTGTCCCGTTTTCTCCCCGTTTATCCCAAGTGTTGAAGCGTGGGAAAAATGGGGGGTCGGCTTCCAAGGGCTACACCACCTGCGACTGGATTGTTATTCTTCAACCATAAGCGGTTAAGCAAGTCAACCGAGGTGAGATCAAGTCGTTAAGCGTCAGATTGCCTGAGGCTCTGCGGTCCGGGATCCAGATGTCAGCCAGTTGAAAACAAATCGGCGAACGATTCTTTTTAGTACTTCATCGTTAGAAGTTGGAACCGCATTCCCGCAAGATAAATCGTGTCTTGATAGAGCTGAAACGTGGACAGATCCGAAACCTTGCCGGCCAGCAGTTCTCACGCGAGCGGTACATCTGCTCGGCGTACTTTAACCTTGCTCCTGCTTATTGCTTCGAATACGATAACCCCGTTAATCGTAGTCCACTGCTTCTATATTGAGTTTCACTATAGGATAAACTCGAAATTTGTTGCCGTGTTCCTCCGTGCAACTGCACGTCCATTGCTTATGCACGTCACGTGGTTCGCACATATAATTACCATGTCGAGCCCGTGTGAGTTCTGCAATAAGCAGTGCTGGTTTGCATTTTGAGCAGCCGAAAGCCACTCGGAAAATATCAAGGACGCTATCTTCAGTAACATGTGGTACTTAGTTTTTGGTTCTCATTAAGGCTCGCAAAGTTCCAAGTTTTCGCATCTGTTACACTGTTACCCATCTACCTAGGTCCCTAACCACTCATGTTCATCTGTGCTGCTAAGCACGATCGAAATTACTCCCGTGCTTGTCTCAGACACAAGCTGAAGTGCAATGAAAGCTGATCTGAGCTTGCCCCAGCCTGCTCCAGAATGTAGTTTTAGCTGCTCCCAACCTGCTCCGAAACGGCTGTTTCAGCTGCTCCTGTGGCCGCTCCCAAGTACATTTCATGAGTTCCACCCCCGTTTTTCCTTGCAGGGCTGAAATGAACAAGAGGATTGAGAAGCTGCAATGCAGATCTCAAAAGCTGCTGGTGAGTGCAGTTTTAAAGGTTTTTGCTCATAATTTCTATACTCTCGAGCCAAAGAGCTATATACAATTTTAAGTGTGGCAGCCCATTTTACAGTTTTTGATATCCCTTTAGTGTAAGAAAAACGTATTTGTGATAAATGCTAGATTGTGACATCAAGACGCTACACCCAGTTTATTGTTCGCTGCACAGTTGTTGTTGCCTGGGTGCATTCAGCGTGGTGCGGGATACGGGTGCGGAGCGGGTAGGGGGCCGCTTACCCAAAACAGCGCGGAAATGTGAAATTAGCAGTGAGGTTGGGGGGGTGCTTGCTTTAGGGTGGAGGTGCTTGCCCGCAATTTTACTGTAGTTAACCCAACCCATTCGCTACCAAAGCCGTTGAATCGCGGGTCGTGCCGTCAGGGGCCATAGTGCCAAAGCTGTAGATTCGCCGGTCTACATGAATTTGTTTTAAAGAGCCATTCATCTCGCCTACGTAGGGGCGAATCTGCCGCCGGCGCACCCTTGGAGTGATCGTGGACGCGTCCCGATTTCGGGTTACCTATACCAGCCTCCCCGGGCGCATCCATTTCCCGCAGGCTACATAAGCCGGCCACAACCTGTGGCCGCGCCCAGCCAAAAATTCTCATTAGATTCCAATTGGAATTTCCAAGTGGTACCAGTTAACCTTTTGGACGACCAATTGGTTTTGTAATGGGAACCAACGGGAACCATTTGAAACCCATTAAGTTTCCAACTGGGGAGACCCATTGGTCAGTGTGCTTCCAATTGGAACCCATTAAAACCGCTTGGTTCCAATTAAAACCAGTTAGAATTCTAATTGGATCTAATGATAATTTGTAGCTGGGCGGGGCTCTTGGGTGGGGGGTAGCTACGCTCGACAGAGCATTCATCGTTGTTTTACTGCTCCCCCTTCCCGTGGTCCTGCCAGTTAAGGCAGCGCCAACCTTTTTCCTCTTTTTGTACTGCCTACAGGCAAAGCGTGTGGCGAAAGCCAAATAAACACGTTGTACGGTATCCCTGTGTTGAACGTGGTCTGCTGTCCACCAGAGCCTAACGGCAGTGAACGGTCGGACCCGGCCGTAGCCGCCATAGCAACGGACTACGAAGTGGGTGTTGCCTCGCAGCGATCAGCAAGGTAAGTCGAAATCCACATTTTGCAGCCGGCGAGTTACGGAGTGCGTATTTGCCCCACTGAGGACTTTCGGGTAAACTAGAATCCCACATCTGCCGCCCTACGTGGAGTGCCACATGTGGGTTTGTCTACTTTACCCCTGGTCCTCGTTGAGGTGAATACCCACTCCGTAGTCCACTCTTTGTACAACTACGGCCGGGTCCGTCCGTTGATTGCCTTTTTGGGCACTGGTGTACGAGAGAACACCAACACAGTGAGTCCGTTTTCCACGTGTTTATTGACTCAAATGCCAACACGCTTTCCTCTTAGACAGGAAAAGTCTGGCGCTGGCTCGGTTGCCAGTATCACCCGGTCGGTTTCCTGCGCTGCCGCAATAGACAGATTCACGGGAAGTCTGAGGCCCACAAAGAACAACCGAGCTCCGTAGAGCCAGGGCCTCTGCTGTCTAGAGCCCCCGACCTTCCTTCGGGAGCCGGCTTATGTAGCCTGCGGGGATATGAACTTGCCCGGGGAGGCAGGTAGTAGGTCACCTGAAAACGGGTTGCATCCACAATCGCTCCCTAGGGTGTGTCGGCGGCACATTCACCCTATGTGGATGAGCGGGAGCCGTCCCCTTGGGAAAATACGGCCTCGGTTCCTCAAATCCGGGTAGCCGCCGTCATTTCGTGACGACTCCCACGGCCTGCTTGAAGCTAGACTTAGATAGGAATATAAAGAACCCCATGGTTCCCACACTATTCATGGCGGTTGTACGTTTGGCTGACCAAGGTAAACCTGCGACGTCACTGGCAGACTCAGTAAAACGTCCGTTAAGATTAAAAATATTAATTATTTATTCTAGTAAAAAGCATGATGTTAAGAAAGTAACAAAAACGATGAGTGAGCACATCGAGCACACTAGTTGCTTGCGTTGCAGGACGTCTTGAGAAGTAGGTCTTTTGTCTTTCTTCAAGCCAGACTGATGAATTCTGCAAAGCACTTGCTTGTGCTGCAATAATTTTAATGAGTGCGCGAAAATCTGTCAAGTCCGAATGTTGCTTCAAATAGGGAATGCATGAACTGGAGGATTTCGCCCGATCCTCTTCGGAGAATTAACATCCACATCTTGCACATTGTGAAAATTTCTCTGCTTGGCTTCCTTCTTTTTGGGTTTACTAAGATAGTACAGAATACTCTACAGATGCTGTAAGTCAATTCCATGGCCAAAGACGTTCTGTTAAGATGAGACTACACGGGTCTGGCAACCACTTTGTTTATTTATGACCTCAGTGCGCGCGTTGTCTTGTCTCATGGTCACAAGACTCCGAGGCCTCCCGAAAGCATGATAGAAGAGAGAAAGAAGGAAAGATAATGTGTTATTAGCTCTTCTATGTAGCAACATACAGAGTAATTCTAACCTCCTCACCGAATCCCGAACCCCAACTCGTCGTGGCCTTGTGACCACGGTGCGTGGGACGTTCCTACGACCGGCACGTTTGGCATCCCATTCTGGCCGCGATAGAAAGTGGTCCCGAAGTAGCGACAAAGGACGTTGCAAAAGCCACTGTGTTGCACCGTCTGGTGTTGCAATCTTGTTTCTTGGGCGTAGGAGTTGGCCGGTCAGAAACTTGTTCCAGGCACGGAGACCCGAGGTGCCTTGGGTCCTTGCAGGAGCCCGAGCAGCCGCAGAAGCGGCAGCACTGTGCGCCTGCCCCGGAGCGGGAGATCCACTGCCTCCCCATCGAGCCCCCGGACGAGCCCTTCGTCGAGCCCAGGGCGCCGCACAAGCCGGGTGAGCCACGGGGTTTGCACGACGGGCGCACCTAGGGCTTGAGGATGCCCCATTTCTCTCGATGATGTAAAGCAGTGAGGAAGCCTGTAGTTCTTCTTAGTGGTACCTCATGCTATGGAGTAATTGGTCCCTAGTTAGCGTCGGTGGGTGGCTCGGATCTGCTAAGATAGCGGATAACTTGGAAAAACGCTTTACTCGGGGTCGGCAGAGAAAATTGGGGAGCTAGGGGGAACCCTCGAGGGTACTCTGGGGGAACACCCGGGCTCCGAAGAACACTATTTGAGAACCGATGACCTCGGCGAAGAGCCCCGCTCATTTCGGCTGCTTCGAAACAGCGGGATGGGGAGGCATCCGTCGGTGAAACCGACTGGCTCTGGGTGGGCCCAGTCTAAACTAAACTCGGAGGCAGCACTTGCAAGCTCGGTGCTTTGTTGCTCTTAGCTCTATTTTGAGAGAAAATGCCCGCATCCTGCGCAGCATAAAGTAAGCGAGCACTCAAACTAACTTGCAGTAGCTATAAATAAATACAGTAGTTGGCTGTGATGTGAAATAATTTTGCTTTCCCCTGGCACTTGCAGAAAAACAATTTGGATATTTTTAGTAACACTTGGAAGTCCATGGGTCAAATGTCGAAGTCTTGGGAATAATCCGATCTAATGAACAAATTGCGTTTCTTCCAAAGTTTTCCATAGGGCTTAATGCTTATGAACTCGAAAGAACAAAGTAAATTGATTGTCAAACCTGATTTAAGGAAGCATTCCCGGGAAAAATTATATGCCAAAAGGTTGCTCTACATTTATTTCGTCCAGAATGGTTCTAAGCTTGCCGTTCACGTGCCAGCTATGGAATCGAGTTACCGGAGGTATTCTACAAAACGAAGCTGCACGGAGCACTGATTCTCCGCATGGCTTTGAATAGACTGCCTACACAAGATGGTGCTAGCAACAATAGTTGCTTCGCGACGCGTGCAACAGATGGCACTGATAGTCTGGCACTCTGCTCTGTTAGGATTTTTTTCTTTCGCTTGTCTCTCCTCGCTGCCGGTTCTTTCTTCTGCGTTGCCGAGAAATAGAGCCCCTCAAGAAGAAAAGAAAATTGCTGACCCTTGAAGAGAAAGTGAATATCATTCAGGCTGTTACGAGCGGGTAAAAGAAATGTGAAGTTGCCGCAGACCATGGCATCCCAGCCAGCATGCTTTCGACAACCTTAAAATCGAAGGACGCCAGGGTTACCCCTTTGGAGACTTTTCCGTGCATAATTAAAAATTCCACTGCGTGGACACGTGAAATCAATACTATGGTAGTTATCATGATGCCGCGTTAAGACTTATGGTATATTCGGCTGGTCACTTTCGAGCACTCCAATCATCCGAGTCGTAGCTACCAGATCCTGGAGCGACTCCGCATCGGAGCAAGAGAATCGGCGCGCCCAGCCGAACGCTCTTCAACTTTTCAGAGCGGCAAGCTGAGCGGATAGAGGGTGGCGTGCGCCACTAGAGAACGGCGCGAGCCGCCCTCTAGCGGAACTTTTGCTCTTTGGATTCAAAAGGTTGAGCAGTATTCAGTGATCCATCCATCCGTAAATCCTTGAAAAATGGCAACCGTCAACGCAGACGCTGATAAGGTCATCGCAAGCCAGCCGTGCCAAGCGGAAGTTCCTGTGAAACTATAAAAAAGACAACATTACAGCTTGAAAACTCTCATACTTTTTTATGCTTACCATTTTGTCCGAGTAGGTTCGCACTATAAAAACATAGGCCTTGACCTTGGGCACCGTACAAGGCAAAGTTGGTACAAGGCAACGTTGGTACAAGGCAACGTTGGTACAAGGCAACGTTGGTACAAGGCAACGTTGGTACAAGGCAACGTTGGTACAAGGTGCGTCAAACAACTCGGCATACTTCGCTTCGCAAACACGGTCCTCGTCGTCGTAGTCCGAGCTGCTGGTGTTGTCGCTGTCTGCTAGCCTCGCCAGCAGCACTGGCGGTGCTACCACTAACATTAAAGGGGCACTGACACATCAAAATCATATATTTTTTTATTGTCTAAAACGATGCAAATTATAGTCATAGACACGCAAAAAAAACCGCATTGCGAAAAAAAAATTTCTTGCGCGCGCACGCGCCTTTTTATTTTTGGCGTTTATATTTCCCGCGCTCACCTCCTCGCTTCTTTTGCTCGATGACGTCAAAAATCAGGAAATTTAGAAGCTTTGTAGGTGACATTTCTATAACATTTAATAATGGCAATCGTAAAACATGTTTTTTAATGCAACTGCGAACGCACTACGGCCCCTCTTTTTGAAATACCGAAAATCAGATTTCGGTGTGATGTGTATCCTCCTTCTGAAAACTTGGCGGCGCTCGAGCAGAGGCTTATCGGCCAGTCGGGGAGCAACCGGTTTTTCCCGCGCTAGTACCCTTCTATCCCGCCTCCTCACCTCCTCCCCCTCGCTTCGGGTCGCCGTGGCAACGGCGCGGTGGAGCGGAGGTCGGAAAGAAAGTCGAGTCGCCGGAGACCGCAAAATTTGACTCACTGCACTGGCGCGGATCGCGCGGGAACTTCAAATTCGGCATTTGTAAATTGTTTTTTTTTTAATAAAGAAATACTGAATTCCCAAGTTTCAAATTTCGAGGGTAATGTCCCAGCATCGTTTTCAATCATTTCGGATAATAAAAAAAAATATGATTCTGATGTGTCAGTGCCCCTTTAAACGTCTTCGTTTCAACGACATTTCACCTCATTTCGGGGAGCACAACACAACGGTGACAGTGTCGAGACTGACGGCTGTTTTTCGTAGCCCTCTTTTTGCGGAGTAGCTGCATTCTCGCCGTCCGCTTCCGACACAAAAGCAAAATGGCGGAATGGCTGGAGTCACGTGACCGGTCGGCAGCCAGATCTCTTGCGCGCTCCCCCCCGCAGGGGGCACCTGTGAAAGCAGGTGTTTGGAGAGTGGCGTCTCCACGGACCCCGAGCCATGCGGGTTCGCCCGCCCACGTCTGGCTGTGCGTGGCTTTCCCGTGTCCGGGGAAAAGGGCATCCTGGTGGTTGAGCCGAGCCCGGGGTAGGTTTGGACCCTTCGGGGGCCCCCCGGGCGAGGCAATACACCACTTCGGCCCCCGCTTCCCGTAGACGGGTGTCCTGGCTTGGCCCGACCAGGATGATTCAGTCAGTCGCCTTTTCTTCTACTATCCTCTCCCTTCTTTCTCCTTTCTCTGCTCTTCTCTTTTTCATTCTCACCTTCTTTGGCGGCAAGGGCTAACCTTGGGTGGAGACAGATACCTTTCTCGAACCACACTTGGTTATAGTTACTTGGTAGCACTGGTAGTGCAGCATACCCAGCCAAGCCATACTTGCTATGGGGTGCTACCTATCCCCTTGTTGGGCTCGGTGGTGGGTGGTGCGCCACAGTTTCTGAACATCCTCCGCCTTTCATGGCTTCCGCAAACCCTAAACCCGGTTCGGGACGAACCTCTAAGAGGCAGCGTCCAGAACCACAGACCATTGAAAAAGAAACTGTCGAAACATTTTCAAAGTTTTTTGTTATTCACTCACATGACGAGCAAAAACCTGTAGCAAAGATGTCACCCTTTATTGTCGCCAAAGTGTTAGAAAACCTTGTTGGATTTTCTTACAAGGCCAAGAAACTGCACTCAGAAGACCTTCTTGTTGAAGTGAACACTAAAAAGCAAAGCGAAGCGCTTCTCAGACTGACCAACATTGTGGACGTGGAGGTGTCGGTGAGCCCTCACCGTACACTAAACACGGTCCGTGGCGTCCTGTCTGAAGAAGCCTTTCTTTACACCAGTGAAGATGAACTTCTTGAGGGACTGAAAAGTTCAGGTGTCGTCGATGTCAGACGTATAGTGTTCCGCAAGAATGGTGAAAATATCCCTTCAAAACATGTTATTCTCACTTTTGAAAGACGGGCACTCCCAGAGACGGTCAAAGCCGGTTACCTCAACTGTCGCATCCGCCCATACATCCCCAACCCCCAGCGGTGTTTCCGTTGCCAGCGCTTTGGCCACGGATCACGCAGCTGTCGTGGGAAGGAGACATGTGCCAAATGTGGAAATGAGGGTCACGTGTCTGATGGTTGCGAGGCAGAGGCACACTGCGCAAATTGCAGAGGACCACATCCTGCCTACTACCGAAGCTGCCCCCTCTGGAAGCAAGAGAAGGACATCCTCGCAGTTAAGGTTAAAGAAAACCTGTCGTACGCAGATGCAAAAAAGCGCTTTTCCTTCCTTTCTAAGGGAGGTTATGCCGAGGTGGTGCGCAGGGGCCCTGCACCACGCTCGGAGACGAAGGCCACTCAGGTCTCTCCTGAGATCTTGGTTGCCGACCTAAAGGCCCTGTCCCCACAACAGAGGCAGCATGCTGCTCCCCTGGGCAAGGCCGGGCCGGCGATAGCCGTGCCCGCCCTCCCTTTCAAGACGGTGGCAAGGGGTCAGCGGGCTCACTCTTCTCGCGGAGAGGGCGCTCCAGCTGACTCCTCTGCTCAGGACAGGCCAGCACTGGCTGTACCTGTCAACACAGGCCGCACTCCTATGGAGGAGAAAAAGCAAGTTCCTCAGCCTCAGTCTCTGGAGAGACAGCCAGGAACCAAGGAGCTGTGTGGGTCGCATGCAGCTCCCTTGTCGGGAAACGAGGTGGAACAGATGGATGGGGTAGAACCCCTCCCCAGTTCATCAACCACCCTTCCACCCAGTTCTGGTCGTGGCCGCGGATCGGGGCCTTGCGGCACGGACCCTCCCAGGCCGGCAAGCAAGTCTGCCTGCAAGGCTCAGGAAAACACTAGCGCTGCCTTGTCTGCCCCCTCGTCGACTCCGGGTTCTGACCAGGACGAGATGGAGTGGCAGACTACTAACAAACAAAAATCAAAAAAACCTGTAATTCCTCCCAAGTGAAACAACTGACTCACCTTTCCATCTGCTCCAGTTTTTTGTCCCTAAAATGGCTTCAATACTCGTCCAGTGGAACTGCCGTGGCCTTCTAAGA